TGTTACGGATGTACATTGTTATGCTCAGAACCTCAAGCGCTTTATGCAGCGCCTGCAACCAACTCCCACACGCACACAAAACAAAAGAGTGCAAGTAGATGTTAGACTCGATGACTGTACGCACGTTTTTGTGCGTTGCGACGCCGTTCGTAGACCGTTACAACCTCCTTATGATGGACTATACAAGGTCGTTAGTAGGAAGGAAAAATTTTTTGTTATTGATCGACTTGGCCGGCAAGATACCGTAAGTGTCGACAGACTTAAAGCGGCCTACATTGAAGAATCTGTACCCCTCACGCCTACACAACCAGCAACTACGCCCGCACCCACACCCCAGCCAAGTGTTATTGTCCAAAATCCTACTAAACCTAGCAGTTCTCTGGATGAGACAAGTAAAGCACCGGTTACGCGCTCTGGTCGGCGTGTACACTGGCCTAAACGATACTGTGAATTTGTTAACTGAACGTTTTTAATTACAAGAGTAACTCATACCTTCATGTCTTTTCTCACGTTACATTCATTTTTCATGATATTTACTCTTTTGGGTTTCGTTTGTGGGCAGTAGCCACTTTTTCATTTACTAATCCTGCTAGATTTCTTTCTCGTTACAGTGTTCTAACATTTTATTTTTGGCGTCGCACTCGAACCGCTAACTAGACCAGTCCATTCCATTGTCGTATAGTGACTCCCAACACTCGTGGAATTACAAACCAAACGAACAAAAATATGGACCCGATAAAAAAATAATAAAATAAATAAAAAATATAATAAAATGTAAAAACAAAAACTTTCACTGTATAGTTAAACGGACCGTTAAATATTTTTGCATATAAATAAGTCACTTCTATGCTGTGCATTTTAATCCGCTCAATCTATTTTCACAGATTTTACTATTTTTACTCGAGTTATGCCATGACGTAACTTATTTATTTTGTGACCCATACTTGTAATTACTTTGCATCACTTTAATTATACAGCTCGCAACATTTTTTTTTAACAAATGGTGATTGTACTTATTCATAGCTATTGGTTGTACACACACTTCTCTGTACCTTGCATAAGTTTTCACAGTGTTAGCAATTTCCCTTGTTTTATTTCAATTTGGCGTACCACTCCCATGTTACACTAGTTCCTTCGCATTTATTCCTCTTAAGTTTTTGTTAACACCCTATGCTGATTTTTAAATCTTAACCTCTTCTTCTATTCTTTTCTGTTGCTTTTACTTTATTCCTCCTAATACGCTGGTATATTGATTGCCTTTGGTGTTACTACTAGTTTTAGTTGATGAAGAAGGATGGAGCATTAGTCTAAGAGGAAACTTAGACATAATGAGCCACCTTCCCGTTATAACAACGTGGGTAACGGAGGTAAACCATCACACCTCCACATAACCCAGTCCGTAATAGTATGTCGTAAAAAAAAAACTAAATAAATAAATAAAATAAAAATAAAAAAAGATAAGTATAAATAAACGATGTTAAAAAAAAAAAAATCGCACCAAGGCACCAGCGTTATTCCTTCTTATATTCCATCTTACTCCATTGATCATGTACATAGTGCTCATAAATTGCCTTCATTCTTTCCTTTCTCAATATATTTATATATATTTTTTTTTAAAAAAAAAAAAAAGAGAAACAACTATTTTATAACTATCTTCACATTTTCTTGTCCATTCACTGTTATTGTACGCCACCTTGTTACTTTTATATATCGAAGCTTGCTGTTATCCCACCAACCTTCTAAGGGGGGGATAACCTGTAGTGTACATTGTACCTTTGAACTTTTGTTTGAATGAACGCAACCTGACATGTTTAACCCGACTTCTGCTTTATACTCCGGTTCCTCCTGTAGGGTTACTGTCTCGCTCTCTCGCTGTACTTTCACCTAGTACACTCTACGAGCCGACAACCGTCTCACCTCCAGATAAGTGTGTACTTTTTATTTCTTATCAAATTCCATATCTCTTCGTGTAAATACAATTCCGGTCCAGTTACACTTGCCATTTCGAGTCTTCTAACTTTGATTCCGTTCTTTAGTACTTGCACGTAGGCAGAGTACTAATTAAGGGCATAAATGGTGAAGGAGTTTGTAAGAGCGGTTATTGTTAGGTAGAAGTTAAACCCAAGTCCAACTCTTACAAACACATCATACTCGCTCAGCCTTATTCACCACAAAACACCGCTGAGATTTCACCTTCTTGGAGTCAGCATAGTTCTAAACAGTTAATAGTATTGAAATAATGGAGAAAATTTGTAGCTGATTCTGATTTACAACACAACTAAATCAAAAGTTAATGGTATTTTCGAAGCTCATATAAAGAATGTTTTAGAAGCTCTTACTCCCTTTCCTTTAGGTTCCGTAATTCGTATGTGTTGATTGTTTTATTCAGTGATGATGGTATAAATTTTTGCGGAGAAGAGCATACAATGTATCATGTTTCCCGAAAAATTTTTGTAAACCCACAAAATTCGCGAGTGGGTTATTTTGTTCTCTTTGGTTTAAAAATTAGCTGACAATCCGTCAATTCTAAAACGATTATTAATGACAACAGTCTGTACTTGATGGTCTTATATCAGATTCCTTATATCAGAGAGCACAGCTCAAGTTCTACTCACTACTCCACTTGAAAAATATCTAGGCATTACGAAGTTCAAACTTCCACAGAGATATACAGAAGAAGAGCAACATAAGTAGCACTACACGAAACTCACCTCACGATCACACTGATTCACTTCTGCGCCACATCTTAAAAGTAATGAAGTTACTTGAACGTTTCTGGAAAGGATGCTTTTATGAAGCGGTGTACAGCCTGACTACACAAAAAAGTAGGAAACGTCAATTCAACTTGGTGAATACACTCGTCAGAAGTAATGATAGCAAGTAAATAAACATGGGGTTTACAAGGAACTTGATAAGGAAATATTTGAATCACTCAATTATATTTCCAAATGTTATAAAGACAAACTACAACTATACCATTGAGAATCAAATAAGTAACATTGACAGAGAACTTATCAACAAGTTATACTGACTTTACAAAGCATTCCCTGACCTGGCCTCTAACACATCAGAATGATCTAGTTTATCAGGAATTTGGATAAAGATTACTAGGCGATGAAATGCGGATGACACCACAAATGGACCACTAAAGATTGTTATTTGTCTACCGATACTTAAATATTTAATACCTTAATTTATAAAACCCTATGGTTCACTCATTCAATCATTTTGTTGTTATTTTACCGCATTTCATTGGCTCTTCTTGAATAAATGTTCGTATTTGAGGTTAAGAGAAACATTCTTTACGACTGTAATGATGTATTTCCTTGTCGCTTACCGACCACGAACTATCCCAAGGTAATTCCTGGCTGGCTGGCTGGCTGGATTCAACATAGAACTTGGCACCGAAGTGCACCAGTTCGAGTTGCCACGTTCCAAATAGCACACAAAGGTAGACAAGAAAATGAGCGATGAAGAGAATCAATAGAGTTTTGATAAGTATAAGAGTGAAACAGAATGAAGGTAATTCCTACTAATGTGTAACATTTAGTCGTGCAGGAAAATCCAAACTATTTGTACTGAGATGATTGTTAAGATCCATACTCATTCCCAATTATGAATTTAAAAACAAACCACACAGAAAAAAGCTGTTAATACCTCATCATTTAAGTCTACCAAAGGGAGGTAAATATGTGGAGTGAAAACATCCAGAGGACACTCTGAAATACGAATCGATATCTACTCTATCAACTGACTTCATCCTTTTAAAATAATGTCTACTACTTCTGGCCATTATCGCTTTCATGCGCTAATCGACATATCTTGTGGATACATATTTCTAAACATATTTTGGTATGGTGACACTTCCAACCATTCAATAAAAGTGGGGAAATCACCTAATGCTTGTACACTGTTGGTAGCAAACAGACGATTTCCATGACCACAGTGGTCAGGCAGGTGCGCGCAGTTTCTAATGAGGCGATAATTTTTGGAAATAGAAAGGTGGAGACGAAGCTGCTGGATTCATCGAAGTCAGACAGCCTCCTTGAGAAACGAATGACAATTACCGGTCTGTTCACGCATAGAAAAACTTCAAGTATCAAATTGTCACATGCTACTCTAGTTTTAGCAGCCCCTTCACTGGATAGAATCGCTAGTAACATTCCTGAACTCCACGATAACTCCGATACCAACGTTACTTTTGATATTTGGTGCAGGCAATTTCGAAATAGATTTCGCTGACCAAGATAGCTTCTGGGAAGCATGTCTCCTTCTTCCAAAATTGAGTCCACGTGAATCGTATCAACACCACAGCATAGTTCTGCGGCAGAATCCATGCGATCGCGCCTGCTTATAAGTACGAAGGATTTCTGTTTTGTGATGTTTAAGTCCCTGGGTGATCTCTGATGTCAAGCGATCGATATGAGGTGAAAGCGTTATGCATGAGTAATGATTTTCATCTCAACAGACTTCGAAATATTTGATGGGAAATTTTATCTAAGGCTTCTGGTATAAATACAGTATTTTCACAACACATATAAAACACTAATACAGTGCATAATTATATTTAAAATAAAGACATTTCAATAAAACAAATGGGCATTGTGCAATCGCCAAGGAATTGAAACAAAGCAACAAATAAATGATGTTCTCAAGATGTCGAGAGCGAATATACGTGGGTCACTTTGTACCATGCTTTTGGAAACTTTCAGCTGCTTACAGCGACCCTAATCATCTAACCTACACTTTCTGAAGTGACTTCGATCACCAATTTACCCAACTAATTTTGGCAAAGATTCTGAGCAAAGAAAGATACTGATCTAGCATGTGACACGTTTTGCACCCATCACAGGTTCACTGGTATGTCTACTAAGTTACAGACCGCACATAATCCTTGGTGCTTAACTCCGACATCCTCATTCGGATACCTTACATTTCACAAGCCTTGACCTAATGGTACTTATACACAGATACACCGATTCTCTCTATGTCTGTTAGTTTTAATGCTCCCCATCCCAACCGTACACCATGTTATAAACACCAGTTACATACAACATGAATAATATGAAGTTTTTAGTTGAATAAAAATACGACATTGAATAACTTACGCTATCCATTAAATTTACATCTGCTCGTCCAGTTTCTATCAGCATTCTGCACAAGCGAATATTTCCTGATTTACACGCATCGTGAAAAAGACTGTGTACCTATGATTAGTAAAGTTCACAAGAATTTATTCAGCAGTGTATTTACAAGACAGTGGCATAGTGGTAAAGGTTATAAGTCGATGTGATACAAAATATAACAACTATCGGGATCAATTAGATGGCATTTTGCCTAGATTAAAAGAAATACCATAAGTTCACCTTATATTTAATTGGAGAAACCCTCTGAACAAATGACTCCAGTTCAAAATATACAACCTCGAAATCGGTTGGGCGGAGCTAATTATTAAGACAAAAATATTCTCACGCACATAATGTGCCTTACGATTAACCAAATTTAAATGAACAAGCTTCCTGGAAGTAATTTGCTAAAAGTGACTTTCTGATAGTTGAACTGTAAGTAGAAATAGCACAATTGAGATTGTTCAAATCATCCTGCGACACTTTTCGGAAGTAAAACATATCTAAGGCTTGGAACGTAAAGGATAAAAATGATATTGCAACCAGTAATATAATTCGGATACTTAAAGAGAGTCAAAAATGTGACTTACTTCTTCAGAGATAATTTCTTCATTAGAAATTTCCATGTCGTACTGTTGCATTATTCTTCTTAGTTCTTCAATGGATTGAGTGCGCTAAGTTCCAGTCTAGCTAAAATAGCTTTCAACAGGAAAATGTTCTCTAAGCATTGCGTTAAGTGGGTCCGAATTTCTACACTCAGTCTTCGCAAGGGGCAATACTTACGCCTGTGTAAATTATCAAACTAGTGGCTAACTACAACTAAGGGACACACGTGAGGGCTAACGGAACCATTTCGTTAGGGCTCGAAATTGTGGCCAAATGGCTGAAAGTTGAGCAAGGATTTAATGCAGATGACCCCTTTAGAAACCAAGAAATAGAAAACCTCATGGAAGTTGTCCCTCAGTGAAAACTACACTATTGTCTTGGCAAAGAACTAAACTTCAATCGAGTGTCACACAATAATCTAGGTGGAGTAATATTATGCGTAGCATTTGGTATAACCAGCACTGAAGACATAAGGCTCTTCCTCACCAAACATGCATGCACTACCACCACATAATCTAACATTTTTAAGTCACAGTCTAGGTTGCCACACCTCATATGTGAAAGCCAAATGGAATAAAATGTCGGAGAAGACAAGTAGACTGCCGCATATTATGGGAAGTGATGAGGTAGAGAAAAAGGAAAACACCGACATAAGTGTACGATACCATGTCTGGAACTAAGACAGACTGTCAACAGGTCTGCACCACTGTGATCAATTCTGAGTCACCCTGTAGATCCGAAATTTTGTTTCTCGTCGTCGGTAAATTCTAGCCAGGGAACTCACTTTTACCAAAAGTGAGAAAGCTAGTGAAGTAGCGATATATCACACAGACAGTTTCCCACCTCAGTGATGATTAGACTTCAGCTGACATCATGTATAGGCTTAGGTGGCAGTTTGGCATGTTCAGCGTAAATTAATAAGGTTGCACAATTTCGCCAACCGCTCCACTTCTTTTACTTAAGACGTTGCGTCTAACTTCCGCATTATTCCTGTGTCACTAACAACACATGCGGACAATGTTATACGCGTCGAATTCCTGCTTTTCTTCTGTGCTCTCGCTTCCAAACCATAAAGTAGAACGAATCGCACTGCTCTTCAGCATAGTGGTTTCTCAAGAGGCAAGTTAACATCTTGTCGTTGGACGATGCAACAAAGCATTGGCAGCCTATGTCAGGTTTCGTATTTCTAAAGTGACGTTCTCTATAAAATAACACCAACACAAACACGACCATTGACCATTCACAAACACTCCAGAAGAAAGAAGTTCGACCCATCGAAAAACTTGTATTACTCAAAAAATGAATAACGGGGATAAAACAATCCACACGCCTTCTGCTCTTCGTTATTGTCGCGTCCTCACAGTTGACATCCTTCATGCGACAGAGAACTGACTCCCTAGATTTAGTCTGAAACGGAATGAAACAGAACACTGGTCAGCATTACAGCTACTCAAGCTTTCATACCGTTACACCAAGTCAAAGCCAGTAATCAACCACAATAGTTCATGGAATTATGTTGAAACACTTGGAAGTGGCTATTTGAAAGTCTTATCAGATTTGAAGTAACACCCGTACTAGGAACTTACTTTATCAGAAAACCTCGACAATAATTTGTAGTTGAAAACTAAGCACTTACTTAGTAATCCCAACTAACTCACATTCATTCAAAAGCAAGTTAAATAGCTTGTATATTAGTCATACTTTGGATACATATAACCTTCTGCATTCAAGGTAAGTTGGCCTCCAGTTTCGATCGATTTTATCGTGCAATTTAATTCAGAACGATAGCCAGTTTTGTGTCAGGTCTTATTACTTTTCAAATTTTATGGGTTCACGTGTTGGTAGCACGGACTGCATTGCCATCTCCACTCCTTCACTCTGCATCTCCAACACATAGTGGGCCAAACACCTGTCGTAACAGTAAAGTTTGTCGATATGCTATTAAATGAAACTGAGGAATAAAACGGTTAGCCGTGACGCTAGCAACCCCACCTAGCAGCGAAATACCATCACCACAACTAAAGCTACGAAAGCTACGAACTATATGTTCCTCTAGGAAAGCAAGTAATGGAAAATAGTATTGTTTACCGTTACCTCCGTCAGAGTCCTGCTGAAGGTACTCGGTGGTAACTTCATCCAAATAATAAATCACAATTATAATGTAAAAACGTCGATACAATAGAGGCATGCTTCAGTCTCAGTGCTGTAAATCTTGATAAGGTTGTTAGGAGGACTCACCTGTGTATAGGGTGAATAGCACTGATTTCGAGCTCAGTCCTGCTGACACTTTGGGATAAACGTTAGGCGCATTCCAGAAACTTTTGAACACACGTGGAGTAAGCCGACCTCACCAAGGTATGTGTACCCAACGTTTCTTGCCCCGAGGTTTCTGCAGGGCACCTAATTTTCTTGCTAGCTGGTATGCAGCTTGCTCACTTATTGATTAGTTGAATTATCGGTTACAGCTAGTTGAATCGAATTCATGTATCACCTGAAAGCTTTCAAATAAACCAGTACTTAGTAGAAGCTCATCAGGACGGCAGAGTGGCAGACACCACTGACATGACTGATATCCCGCCTTTACGGCACGTTAACCGCGACTGAAGTTGTAATTGCAAGAAATTGTTCCGCAGAGATAAACAAACACCTACTATTAGAAAGTATAAAGAAAATATCTTGTTGAAAATATGCTATGTGCAATGAAAAATTTAATACGAAATCGTTTTTTTTTGTCTACTTCATAATGCCCTTGTATTCATATTTAGACCTTGCTGATGATTTGCCGTTCAATTTTATCCTCCTTTCATTAGTACATCCCAATCTATGTCAAAGAATGAGAGCGTTTGATCGTTTCCAAACTGAAAGTGGCCTTCCTGACCACCATCTTCAGCCAGAGGGACTAATTGCATTCTCTGATCTCCACACGTAAACTGAAATATTTTGTTTGTTGAGTGATTGATTGTTAATATCACTAAGAGGTATGCGTCGCTACTGTATCTTATGACAGGCGGTCACTCATCTGGCATCTGAGTATTGATTTCTGTAAAACCATAATTCTGAGGGTGATGTGGTCATTCTCACGACTATGCCGTCTTCAGAAGGGCACTCTAATCTGTCATTATCACTTCTCGAGTGACATGGTTCAACACGATGGGTCTAGCAAGCAATGCATTTTCTACCTGTACTTGTTGGTCTGGGGCCGCTATAACAAGTAAATAGCTTGTGATTTATCACAGTTATTGATCTCATCTGGATGGAAACAGTATCAACTGTAGACCGACAATTTATGTCACTGAAGTTGTTGACTAAAACATAAGTCTGAAACAATCATCTGCTGTCATCAGAAACCCCCGGAAGAAGGGAGTGTATTTTGCATAATCTCTCATGCTCCTTTAATACTCACTTGGCCTCCAGGAGAATGGCTGCCTGGACAACAAATGGACGTTTATGATAACCAAATGAATTCGGTTTCTCTTCGCAGAATCTGTGAACAAAGAGTTTTACGCATATACGTATATATCTATGTACGTGGTTATTCGTGAAGGGGAAAAAGAAGAACACGGATTAAAAGCAGGTTGTTTTTGATGAGCACATACCTGTCTTGCAGCTCATACACAAACAAAGAAATAATAGTGATAACAATCGCTTACGGTAACACTGACATCAAAATGAAGCGAAAATGGCAATAATCAGGATAACAATGTTTGAACGAGGAAAGTATAATTGTTTTGTCAGTCCACAAAATGTACATGGCAGACAGGTCTACTGATTTTCTGGCCACTACGTGTTTGATAAGATGGAGAGATAATAATTGGTGCCGGTGGAGTTGTATCGACTGTTTTATTAACTATTTGTTCAGATGTCAGTGTAGCTTCGAATTCACTGTCTGTATAAGCTTGTTTAATCTGATCAATAGAATTTTCTCCAGTCTACCACTTATTCGCTGCAAAGAATATCTGTGAACGTTTAGGGACTTGGAAAGGCTTTCGTGTGAAAGTTGCAATCCTTTTCTGACAACGTCGACCTGGACAAAGACAAATTTGCAAGTGTCCAGGTGTTTGCTTACCTGATGTCGTCGGAGAGTTTGTCGAATTGTTGTTGTTTGGAGTTGAAGCATCTGTCTGTTTAGTCGGTTATTGAAGTCAGCAATATTCGCATCTGTCGAATCATTTGAGGGAGCTAGCTGCCCGGGCAGAGTTGGATTAGAACCACAAACGTGTTCGGTCGGCGAACACTCTAATGCTTCTTTGATAGTTGATCGGATGTTGAGCAGGATCAAAGGTAAGTCTACACTCTATTTTGGTGTACGGTCCTGTGCCATCAGACAGCTTTTCGGTTGCCTTTGGAATCTTTCCACTAGGTCATTCGCTGCTGGATGATGAGCTGTCGTAAAGATATGTGGAGCCCGAGGTCAGGTCGACTCTGTAAATATTGTCGATTGGAACTGAGCACCTCTATCGGCTGTCACCGTAGACGGTACGCCATATTCCATACCCAGTTTTGGCGTTGCAAACATTCACGCGCCCATCTCCCGACATTGGAATTTATTCTGGGCCAAACGAAACACTCACTGATGAGTTTAACAGCCACACGCACTCCGGAGTGACAAAATTCATGTGAATGATCAAACCATGTGAGCGGGACAAACAGATGATTGGTGCCAGTAGATAAATCGCAGACTCTAGTTTGTCTGATAAAAGAATAGGTGCGTATTTGAACTGTAAAGAATAATTTTAGTTTGGCAGCTCAGCTTCGTTTCCTTGTAACTGCGCCATACGGTCGAGACTGACATCTACTGAAGTGTGGATCTGGCTTATATTGTAAGGATAGAATACAAAGGCCAGGCAACAGAACGTTTATTGAGAAAATAAAGAGGTATTTATGGAACCAGCTATTACATTTGCTTCACCTTACAGTGCTATGCCTTTTAACCTACAACCCAGCCCCGACCACTATTACCCGTACAACCAGGAACACACAGTAAAGATTTAGGTGTCCCTAATCACTGGTACGACCCATGGCACCTAGGACCGCC